TGGACATTTTGGGTTATGACTTTGTTGGCTTTAGTGTTTTCTTTGAGTGATGAATCTATTTCTTCTCCCATATATTTAATGCCAGAGATCCGCTCTTCCATCTCTTGCATTAGGTTGGTTATACTTGCATCTATAGTTCCTGTTCGTTTACTCAGATTTACTACTTCCAGCATTCCCTCAGTTTGTGTCTTCTTTACTGTCTTGATTTCAGTTTTCAAGTCTTGAAATGTTTCCCTCACTTGTTTAATTGCTTTCTCTTGGCTTTCAAGGGATTTACTGATTTCTTCCCATTTTTGTTTGACTTTTCCTCGAATTCTTTAAGGGAATTTTTCATTTCCTCCTTAAAGATTTCTATCATCTTCTTAAGATCATTTTTAAGGATGAATTCTTTTGTTTCTTCTGTGTTGGAATGTTCAGGTCTTGCTGGTATAGGTTCTGATGGAGCCATATTTTGTTGTTGTTGTTGACTGTATTTTTGCACTGGCATCTACCCATCTCTTTCTCCACTTGGTTCAAGTGGTGTCTGTGTCTGAGGGAGGCTCTCTTGGTCTGATCAATACTCTTGGACTAGTGGGAGCTCTTGGTCTAGTTGGTACTGATGGATTCTTTGTCTCAGGGAGCAGCTCTTAGTCCAATTGGCACTCCTGGGCTCTGTCTCATGGAGTAGCTGCAATCTTGGCATGTGAGTGGTTTGGGAGGAGTGGGGCTTGTGGGTTACGGGATCTGGTGGGGAATGGTGGTAGTCTGATCTGTCTGCAATAGGGCTGCCTGCTGACTGGCCTGAAACTGGGACTGCAATGGGTGGTGGTGTAGGGGTACAGGGTTTGGCCCCTGGGCCAAAGCCTAGAGCTGGAGTGTTCAGGTTTGAGGATAAAGACTCACCTCTTAGTCCAATCAGCTGCTGGTGGGCTCAGTAGAGTGTTAATATTTACACTTCCTATTGAAAGTCATGTTTCAATTCCTGACATTTTATTGATTTTCTACTGTGTGGCATTGTCTTGGCCCTCTTTTTGAACAGCTGTCTTAGCATATTTTTTTTCTCTAGCCTCTTGGCTGTATTTATTTTTTACTTCAGTCCAAACCATTCTTTACGTTATGTAATGCAAGCAGACTTCATTGTGAGAAATTTTTTAGAATGGACATAAACAAGGGATACCTTTTCTGTGTTGATTGTAATAAATAGTGTTTTCATATACAACATTAGTATTGTTCAGCAGCTCTTATTTTCTAAACATGGACTAAATCTTTTCAAGGCATCCTGTTATTTTTGTTTTCCATTGAAAATTCAGGAGATGTGCTCATGGTCTTGTCTTTATTTGTGACTTGTCTTTCCTCTTACACCTTCCAGTACACTTTCTTTATTCTGTGTATTCACAGTATATGTAAAATATGAAATAGGAAGTTTCTTCTCTGGTCTTCTTACCTGTGTTATACACTTCAACCTGTCATTGCCTTTTCCCAAGAGTGATGGAAAAGACATACTTCCTCAATTTCTACGTTAGCTCTTAGTTTCCATTGACAATCCTCATAAAGTTAAGGGAAATCACTGCTGTACCCAATTTTCTAAGACATTAATTAGGAAAGGATGTTGTGTTTATCCCTGATTTTTTTCAAAGCACACTATCTCTGATTGCTTGTGTAATTTGGTTTTATTTTGTGTTATGACTCATTGTGTAGCAAACAACAGAATTCCTTTCATGTTTCTACATTCAGTTGGTAAGAGTTTTGCTGATAAAATCCCTTTAGTATCTTTAAGTCACATTTTTACATAGGATTTAGTCCCAAGATTTATTCTGATTTTAAATAACAGGGCACTAGAAGCTTCCAGATTCAATTCTCCACATTCCCCTAGTTTTGTAAGTTTTAGAAATGCCTGTGAAGAACAGATAAGAATTATCTGTTAAATATTTCATAAAATTCCACACTGAATCTTCCTACAGCTCAACTCTTCTCTTTGCATTTCTATTTAAAGTTCAATTAGTTTTAGGTGTGATATACTTTCTATATTTTATAATTATACTAATTTGTACCACAATTGTTCCTGTTGTTTTGATATTTTACTTAAATTATTTAAAGTTTGTCATTGGTGAATAAAAAAAACTGTCAAAAGCTTAAATTGCATTTTCATCATGTTATTTTTCTTTTCTCTACAGTACTCTTTCCATTCCTTTCCAGAATATATAACAAACTAAACATCTGCATGTTTCCAAGTGATGCTATGTCATTTTTTAAGAAATTTATAGAAAAAAACAGAAAATATCGGCTTGAAAATACCCAAGAGGTCAAGTATCACACAATTTATTATAATTCTAAGGCCATGATGTCAAAAGATAAACATTTCTTATAGAAAGCCCTATTAAGATATTTAATGAATTTGTTTTTTTTTTAATTTGAGTTGTATCCTGCCTAGAACTTCAGCAATATCTTTGAGCATTGAGATTGTTACTTTTATAACCCATTTTCCCCTATATACAGCTTACATGCTGGACTAAGGATAAGGATGTTGGCAGAAAAAATGCTGACAGAAGGATGTCAGGGAGGCAGTATCATGTCTGAGGAGGTGCCTCTGCTTATTTGCCAGTATTCTGAGGATTGGAACATTTGTAGTTGTGGTTGTTTGAAAGTAAATAGCTCCCTAAGGGAGTGTCACGATTAGGAGTTGTGACTTTGTTGGAGTAGGTATGGTCTTGTTGGAGGAAGTCTGTCACTGTGGAGGCAGGCTTTGAGGTTTCATATGTGCTCAAGCCATGCCCAGTATTTTAGACCACTTCCAGGTGCCTGTCAAGGTATAAGAACTCTCAGCTATCACTATAGCACCATGCCTGTCTGTATGCTGCCTTGCTTCCTGCCATGAAGATAATGAACTAAGTCTCTGAACTGTAAGCAAGCCTCCAGAGTTAAATGTTTTCTTTTATAAGAGTTGTCATGGTCATGGTATTTCCTCACAGCAATAGCAACCCTAACTAAGACAGGAAACAATCTCATAAAACCAAGCAATGACTTGCAGAACAACAGGTGATGAGTATGAGATATTGGTTAACAATATGTCAAGGAAATGAGATATTGATGTGTAGGACTTATTTCTAAACAAGCTCCTATGAAAGGAGAAGAAACTGCCAACCATCCAGACAGGAGTCTGTTGTCAACAACTACAGATGCTTAGAATAAGGGAAAGTCATGAGAAATAGTGCTGAACATGGCAGCATGATACTAGACCATGATAGACTTATTTTGTAAAAGCTAATTTTTCATGACAGGGTTTCTCTGACTAGTTCTGGCTGTCCTGGAAATCATTTCATAGAATAGGCTGTACTCAATCTCAAAGATCCACCTGCTTCCCAAGTGCTGGTATTAAAAGTGTTTGCCATCACCACCAGGCTCATGGTAAACTTTTTGTTCCCCAAAATCTATGGGTCATTGTTTTATGTCACTAGTGATTCAGGCAACATTATCTGGATTCGTAAATAAGCCACTTCTGCCCAAGAAAGTTTAACTTCTTTGTTTCATACTTATTTTTTGCATGCCAATCCACTTTCCGCTTTTGAAATTTCTGTCTCCTTTCAGCACCGAGTGGATTTTCTTCAGCTGATGATGAACTCCCAGAATTCCAAAGACACGGAGTCTCATAAACGTAACTAACTATAATTTAGGGTCTAAAGGGGTTGCACAGAGTGCAGGGCTTGTTCTTGAAATGTAAAGGTTCATTCCAACATTGAAAGCTTCCTGCTAAATCACAAAAAGACACAGACAGTTTATGTTATATGAAGAGGGCTAAGGAACTTTCTAAAATCATGGAGTATATGCATACAGAAAATATCAAAGTAATTGTTTGTACCTTTCCTCTGTGACTGGGAAACTACAACCCTGAAATATTATAAACATGGCCATCTAACCAAGACCTGAATTGGCCCAACAACAGCTGACTTTCCAACACAGATGTGGAAAGTCTCATGAGTACTGATCTTTAGAATAAGAGCTCCAGGCAGTTCAGAACAGCTGAGAGAGAGAAAATTACTCTTCCGCAGAGATGAGTCCCTGATTGTTTATCCAATACTAACGATCCAACCCAGAAACAAGTACAAGTTGGAAAAATGAGCAGACTCAGCAGGTTGTATTTATGATTGTTTATTTGCAAATGTAATAAATTGGTTAAAGAAGAGGTCCTAAATTTGAGAGTGAGTGGAGATGTGGCATGGGA